GCTGTGGGTTAGTTTAGATCATGATCTAGATCTTTTAGACCTGGAGCTGTAGGGTAGTTTAGATCGTGATCTAGATCTTTTAGACCTGGAGCTGTGGGATAGTTTAGATCGTGATCTAGATCTTTTAGACCTGGTGCCATGTGGTGGCAGTTTTACTCTGGAGGCACATCATAGCAGCCTGCGCCAGCTGTTCCAGGACTCACGGAATTCCAGCACCTCTCGCGGTGCGGAGCTTCGGCAGGAGCAGGAACTCCTCCGAGAAGGATGTGGCGTGTCTCTGTCTTTGGTCGCTTCGTTGATTTTCTCCGAAAGGCGCGGAGGGCAGGTGCCTCTCACGCACGCAGATACACTAAACTGATGTGGTCTGTTTCCTGTCTGGGGCTCCAAGGCTCGTTGAGTTACTGTCCGGAAATCTCAGACACCTGGACGGGGCACAGTCCTGGCCAGGAGAAGAGGGGTTTCTGAACTGCACAGAGACAAACGGGGGGTCCCAGAGAGGACCGTTGGCCGAGAGTCTGTCCCTCGGCTCTCGCCCTGCTCCTGCTCCAGCACAGGGCTGTCCTTCTCTTTGGATAGTCTCAAACCGCCCAGCCGTGCTGTCGAACCCGACACCCTGCGGTCCTGCGACACATGGCCAGAGCCCATCGCGCACGCTGGGGGAATGTCCTCCTCATTTGTCACTCTTGCTCTGAGCCTGCACGCACATGTGTACCTGTGTGTACAGGTGTGTGTGTACATGCGTCTGTGTGTTTTTATGTGTGTGTACATGTGTCTGTATGTGTATAGCTGTGTGTGTATAGGTGGCTGTGTGTGTATAGGTGCCTGTGTGTGTAAAGGTGGATGTGTGTAGGTGGCCGTGGGTGTGCACTTTGTCTCTGCTCTTATTTGACCCATTTCAAAACACTTTGCTCCAAACCAAACAAGTCCTGCTTTGTTCCTAACCTTCAGATAAATTCCAGCAAATTCTCCACAACAATGTTTAAATCAGGAACTCCAGGAGCAGAGCACAACACGCCCGACTCCCCCGCCTCCTCTCCTTTCTCTCTCACCTCGGAGTCAGCCTCGCTTGTCTTCCTTCACTCGGCTTTGATGCCTAAATATTCCCTGTCTTACATACTGTAGATCCTATTTCCACTTGCTGCTGTCTGGGAAAGCCTCGGATTGCTGAAATTAATGAGACTCTTCCCTTGCCTTACGCTGCCCCCTTCTAGTTTAAAACTGTTCAGATATCCTGGCTTCTTTCAAGAAGCAGCTGGGTGAGACCCTGGGATGAATTAGCTGTTAAAGTCCAGAGAGCCAGTCGGGTCTCATAGCCTCCTGCCTCCTGCCTCCTTTTATGGCGGTAATTCACAAAACACAAGACTGGTTTGATAAACCTGACGGCATCTTTAGAATGAGGAGGTACAGCATCAGAACTGTTCACTTCAGGTCTGCTGTCACCTCCTGTGAGTTTCCTTTGGGTGGAGCAGAAGTTAGGAGCGAGAGTCACAGAGAAGCACTGGGAGTCGATGGGAGTCTGGCAGGCAGGGTGGCTGGTGTCAGTGGCTAATCTGTGAGCATTGCAGTCAGCAAACAGTTGCGTTTGGACAGGTGGCTATTGAGAAGCTTTATGAGAGGTGGTATTTCCAGTTTTCTTATCCTTTTACCATGACCTCACTGTACTGTGATTTTACCCTGATCTCACTGAGCTCTACTGCACTGTATTGTGCTTTTACCCTGATCTCACTGAGCTCTACAGCACTGTACTGTGATTTTACCCTGATCTCACTGAGCTCTACAGCACTGTACTGCGATTTTACCCTGATATCACTGAGCTCTACAGCACTGTACTGCGATTGTACCCTGATGACAGTTGGCTCTACTGCACTGTAATTCAAGTGTACCCTGATCTCACTGGACTCTACTGCGCTGTACTGTGATTTTATCCTGATCTTCCTGGGCTTTACTACACCGTATCGTGATTGTACCCTTATTTCGCTAGACATTAGTGGCCTGTCCTGTACATTTACCCTGATCTCATTAGGCTTTACCAACCGTACTGTGATTTTACCTGGATCTCTCTAGGCGTGTGATTTACTGTCTGTATTGTGTTTTCACCCTAATCACATCGGGCTTTACTGCGCTGTACTGTGTTTTCACCCTGATCTCTGGGCTTTACTGTCTGTACTGTGTTTTCACCATAATCACAGTGGACTTTACTGCACTGTACTGTGTTTTCGCCCTGATCTCTGGGCTTTTATGTCTGTACTGTGTTTTCACCATAATCACAGTGGACTTTACTGCGCTGTACTGTGTTTTCATCCTGATCTCACGGGGTTTTACTGTCTGTATTGTGTTTTTACCCTGTTCTCACGGGGCTTTACTGACTGAACTGCACTTTACTGCGCATTAAGTGATCAAATCCCTGCGGTCTATCAGTTCAGGGGTGTGTGTTCAGGTCCAATCACGCAGAAAGATTGGTTTAATCTTGGGTCCGATGGCCCTGCAGGGTGAGAGCCAGCTCCTATTTATATAACCGGCCTCTTCCTCTCCTTTCTCCTCCTGCTCTGAGCATGAAAGCCAGGCTGTGCAACCAACGCCCACAGGAGAGTCATCTGAGCGAGTGTGTGTGTGTGAGTGAGTGTTCAGAGTGTGTGTTGAACATGAGTGTGTGCGAGTGAGAGTGAGTGTTCTGAGTGTGTGTTGAACATGAGTGTGAGTTGAGCAGGGCAATGTGCATGAGAGAGTGTGTGTTGAACACGAGTGTGAGTTGAGCAGGACTGTGTGTTCAGTGAGAGTGTGTGTTGAACATGAGTGTGAGTTGAGCAGGGCAATGTGCATGAGAGAGTGTGTGTTGAACACGAGTGTGAGTTGAGCAGGGCAATGTGCATGAGAGAGTGTGTGATATAATTGCCACAATGACAGAGCAATCCTGACAGGCCTTTTATCACAAAACACACAAGGCAGCCACATTCCAGCTCTCTGTCAAAGTAGTAACTGAACAGCAGCTCTGCCCTGTAACCCTGTGCTCTCCAGTTACAGGTACATGTATCAAACCTGTAATTACATTGAATCTAAATTCACACAGAGACCATCCTGCTCTTTGATCGAGTCCTACTGGAGCTCACGTCCTTTTGTCCTCAGACAAGATTCTTCAAATGACACCCCTCAGCATTGTTTTTTTCACAGATAGCACTACAACATGTTTAATTAATTCATTTGACTATATTGCCAAGGGCCCTTCAGTATCAGTTTTAGAAGTGATCTGTTAATGCACTCTGAGTATTTTCACTTGTTATTTGCTTATTTTGAATGACAGACTTCGTGTGTTATTCCTACAGGCAGACTGTGTGTGTGATTCCTACAGGCAGACTGTGTGTGTGATTCCTACAGGCAG